TCTGAATTGAAACGGGCAAAACGTTGTCTGCTCTACGCCATCTACCTGTGCTACAATACCAAGCTGGAGCTAAGTTATACGTATAACGGCTCAATATTCTGGCCATTGTCAAAACATGCAGTATTTTTGGACCCGGTCGACAAATCAAATTTTGGGAATTCGACAAAAATCCTCGGGAACACGTCCTCAACCGATACTGTTACTGACGATTTAATCAAGGTAACGTGGATTGCTTTTTCCATTGAGATAAACGAAACGGTTTATTTTGAACTCAGAAGCACATTACGGTTTCCATAACTTTAAGCGCTTTACTTGACGGCTCATCCGATAGACCAAGCACCCATCAGTTTGATTCTGGCTGATGAAATAAATTTGGAACGCGAAATTATGGTAGAGTTTAGTTACTCGTCAGAGTCGATTAAATCAGGTTCTAATTTTAGAACAAAAATACAGTCTCCCAGGGCTGCAAACGAAACTTAATGTACGAAATAGGCGGAGTTTCAGGACCCGAAGTGTTCGCATATTATTTCCTCACCGATTTCGACAGTGTGCGTCAATCCAGATCCACATATGTCCCTATAAACCTGCTGACTTACGTCGCCGAAATTTGGTATCTACTGGATATTGATTTTGCCTGACTATTCAGTTATTCTTCACACCAAACCCTCAGTTCATTCATGTATTCGTACACATGGAATGGATTACTGAGGGGAGGGGGAAGGGGTTTCGGTACTGCTGATATCTCTGACTCCGTAACCGTTTCTCTCCTTTGGTCGACACCAGGCACCCAAATCTCACTTTTGACTTCCCTGGTTTGCTTACATGTGGCAATCCTGGCAACCGACTACCAGCCGACTAAATCCACTGACGGTAGCCGAGTTCCTCGCAGTTGCATCCGTACATGTGAAACAGTTCCGGTAGACTGAAATTAAGATGTCTTGTTCTCCGTTCAACATCTCGGAAGGCGGTTTGGTATGTGGTGTACGTAACTGTAGATAAACGCAACAAATAGGTTACTCCGTTTATTGGAATGAATGGTCACCGAAGTAAGCACACGATTGCATCCGTAGACACGTTCGAAAGCAAGGCAGGTAGGAGAATTTACGAAGTCGGGCGCAGGCACTATATGCAATCGGGGCGCGCGGGTAAGCCGGGTAGTCACGCTGACAACGAATCAATCTTATAATAAAGTAAATCTGTACAACATGCATGTGCGTGACAGCAGACAGCATCAGCCAGTCAATCTGTGGCACCGTGTGTACAGTTCTACTGAAATAAAATCGAAGCTCAGTACTGGGTTGATGTGAATGCCATAGATGCACCTTCGGAGTGCTGTTGTGGATACCACTCGTGCCGCATCGACATGAATCTTTTCGAACTCTTGATCAATCTACTTGCAGACTCCATTGCCCCAATCCTGTTTCAGTTTTTACAAATGAAAGTATCTACTTTCTTGTGCCGGTTTTGTTTGTTTTACTCCCCAACCACTTACACCGATGCTCTCCAGAATCATCAACCCGTTTGTTCAATGATAATCAGTCAGTTTTGGCGTATCATCCAGGAACGTGGACATATTTAGTGGGTGACGTAATTTAAAAAAAATGGGTTGCATAGCTCGGGCTGACTGAGAACAATCACAAATTTTGTTGTTTGAACGATTTCGGAAGACAACATCCTTGTGTTTGTATTGGGACTTGAATCAGTGTCCTCGGTGGAATTCGAACCCACACCCATGGACGCTGTCCACGCTTTTTTACAGCACATGTTCTACCAGCTGATCTACGAGGCCACAAATCGCACTGATTTTTTCCACATTTGGTGGAGCTCATAGCTTTTTGTCACTTAGATGGGTTATCCAAATGTGAAAAAATCAACGCTATCAGTGTGGCCTTGACACTCACCTGATGGAGTGGGTAAGGTGCAAAAGCGTAGGTGACGTCCATGCACGAATTTACATTCATTTTCACCACAAACACGAAGGGAGTTATGCCAGCTGCTGAGGAAAATAGACAAAGCAAACAAATTGCCCTACCTGATAAACGAACGAGAATGAAGTGTTTGCTTATTCTAATCAGGTCTTCCATGCAGGCACTCGAGCAAATTTCCCCCCTGTAAAATCTCGATGTTAGTTTACGTTTTAACTCAGTCATTTGAGAATACAGGTGTATAAAATAAGTGATCATCTTGATCCACGTATTGATCGTAATTGGAGGACCTAATTTACTTCATTCTTTGGATTGCGAATGGGAGAAATGACCGTACTTTTGATGCATCGTGCTTATTAAAATCACGGAACAATGTTTTTTTCTATACTCCCCAGTAATGAAAATGTATAGCATATATAATTCTACCATTCCTTTCAGGTTTTGTCTCCCAAATCCGGACCCGTCGTGGCAAACAATGAGAACGATAACTCTGTCAGTCTGGCGGATCTATTGACAGGTCGCTTATACAACCCATCTCCTGGTGTCCGTGTTTGTCTGCCGTTTTTGGCCTCCACCGAGGGCCGAGATGTCCCATTGGCTGCGTACTACACCTACGTGATTGAGTGGCCATTTGGTCGAAAGCTAAACGATTTGCTGAAGAGAAAACTTAAGGTAGAATTATGCTTTTCAGATGATTGTTTTTACTCATTTCCCTGATAAACTACTACGTGTTCGCATGATCGATACAGTCTGTTTGAATGTTGTCTGTTCAACGTGACTGTCTACCAATACTTGCTGTTTGTTCTTCGCCAGGTGATGCATGCGGAACTGTATGCCATGAATCAAGAACGGAAAATGCATTCGTCCGGCATTCTCATGGAACAGAACATGCGAACTACTCAAGCGGAAGATCATCCGTTTCTGGCTTGTCATTTGGGAGTGAACTACAACATGTCAGCAGAGCGATCCAGTTTTATGCAAATTAAGCGCTCATCCAGTTCGTTGCGTTTTTTCACCAACGGAACCGACCAGTTATTGTCTTTTGCTCTGGCAAAAGAGGATGAGACCTGTTATGTGGACTTCAAAGCTCGAGCTTTTACCAAGACTGCAAACTCACAGGGATCCGATCCAAAGGCCAGCTTCTCATCGATGTCTCGACTTTGGGCCGGCAAAGGGAGTTTGTTGTGTGGCATTTGGAATCGATTACTCGAATCCGGTGACAATGCGGTATCACAGCGACTGACTCTACCGAGTCTGCCAGCCGATTGGACGAACGGCCTGCAACAAGTTCACGTTAGTCTACAATGTGGTTCGATTTTGCATTTCGCTATCTAAATCGTTTGTTTTCCGTACACAATTTTTGTGAACTGATAGATATAAAGTCGTCTCAACGAATGGGCACACCGATCAGTACATCGGGTCTTGAACCTCGAGATCCGATTAGCAGATAATGAATGGGAACGTAAAATCTCCACCCCCTACCCACTCCATCGAAAAGATGTAGTTGTGTATGAATACATATGCCTATGCGCAAGCGTTTGCACATGTTTTTTAGTTTACGCCATTTGAATGTTTGGCGCTAATCAAGTCCGAGTCGATACGAAGATTGTCGATCACATAAAAAATATTCGGTATTGATTCATCCACAAATCCGCATACACCTTTGTCCAGCTTCACACTTATCCAGCCCATCTCATTTTCCTTTTGTTCAGCGTCTTGAACGCAGCATTTTAGACCCTCGATCTCACCAGTTCTTCAGCTTCCTGACCACACTGTACACATCGAAATCGTTCATGTGGCCGGAACCATGTGTCCCACCTTGGATTGCTACAGTAGAGTACTACGGACTTCAGGATCTTCCACTTGGTCTATTTCTGGAAAAATGTTGCTTCACGTGAGTTTTTTTAATTTTTTTATGAACTGCTTGCCTTTAAATTAGTAAATAATTCGAACGAACAGTGTTCGAATTAACGACCCCTAAGTGGTATCTCACACCCTGAGCCACGCATACAAGACCCCACTTCCATTGTCTTTCTGCGTTCTCCTGATCCAACCACAACCTCACGCTTCACCCTTCGCGTTCAGGCGATTCGGCATCCGAAGCTCGCGGTGTTGCTGGTGTCGGGATTGCGCTAAGTGCCAAGGCTGAACGCTCGCTTCTCGACTGGATTCCAGTCAGTAGCCGACTGTGCGCCGTAAGTCTCAAAAGTTCAGCGCGGGTCAACAGCTACAGACCGAAGCGTCGATGTCTATTCGTCGTGTCGGTGTATGCACCAATCGATTGCAGTACACCTGAAATGAAGGATGAATTATACAAGGACCTTTCTCGATTACTCCAAAGCGTTCAATCAACGGATATCGCGGTAATCACCGGAGACTTTAATGCTCAAGTGGGATCCCTGGACGCACCAAAAAAGGCTTCTTGGTGGACCACAACGGACAACGGCGACCGCCTACTTCAACTCTGGGCCAACCACAGATTGTTCTTGTCAAACACGACTTTCTCGCACAAGAAATGACACCGTCTTACATGGAAACCGCCAACCTCTTCACAGCGCTGGACCCAAATCAACCACTTCGCTATCAGTTGCCGCTGAAGGGGATCGATTCAAGACTGCCGCTCCTACTGGTCAATACCTGTGGATACGGACCACGCTTTGCTACGATCCAAATTCTCCTTACCTCTGGCAAAGAACCGTAAAAACGTTACCGACAACGGATACCTACGATACAACGTCAGCGATTGTTGCGAATCGGCCTTCGAAGCGGAGCTCTCCGATCGCCTATCAGCCGAAGGGCTCAATAAACACTGAAAGCAAATCAAGGAAGCTATACAAATATCGATAAAAAAACGTCAGACCGTCACGCAGGCTCAAAACATAAACGATGGATCTCATCGACCTCGACTGTCCTGCTGGACTCCCGCCGAACCCTTCCTCTCGATGCCACATATGACACAGCGCGCGAATCCCTCAAACTCCAGCTCATCAGGAGTCTAAAGAGTGATCGCGAGAAGTGGTGGATAGAAAAGTGTAAAGAGATAGGGAAGGCTGCGGCTATTGGTCGCAATCTTTTCCGTCTAATTAGGAAAATAAGCGTAAGTGAGGTAATTAAGGAATCCGATGGCATACTGACTCACGATCATCAACGCTATCTTGATCGATGGGCTGAACATTTCGAGACTCAGTTCAGCTGGTCCCCATCTACATCTGAACTATCACCCTCCACCGCGACTGCGCATGTTCTGCCAGTCGGTGCCAGTCCTCGATCTGAAATGGAGGTTTCTCGAGAAATAAGTTATCTCAAAAGGTATAAGGCCTTCGGTCCCGGCCGGCTCTCCCCATCCGTTTTTAGGGATGGAGGTTTAGGATTGGTTTCGGAGTTAACGAATCGCCTGGACTCAGTGTGGGAGAGGGAACAGGTTCCAGCTGAATGGTGTGAATCGGTCATCATACCGATTTACACGAAAGGTGACAGATCCTCTTGTGAAAACCAGAGGAAGTAGTTTAATGAACATCATTTCCAGACATCTCACTGGTACGATACTCCGTCGATTGTCTGCCCCTGGTGAATGGTGTACGCGTGAGAACCAGGCTGGTTTTAGACCCGGTCGACCACATCTTCACTCTGCGCCAAATTCTGGAGCACCGGCATGCTTTTCGTAGACCTACCATCTCTGTCTTCCTAGATCTGAAATCGGCTTTCGGCTCAGTCGACCGCTCTAAACTCTGGCGCTACCTTTTTCACAAAGGTGTGCCCGGGAAGTTAACTTTAATATTACGGCTGTCTGTAAAGGGTCGAGTGTATACTGCAGTAGTTCGGCCAGTTCTACTATATGGAGCAGAAACTTGGCCATTTAAAAAACGAGACAAAGATGGACTGTCGGCTTTGAACATCGCTGTCTACGCAGCATTGCACGAATCTGGTGGGGCAGCCGGACGGGCAATGCCGGGGTCAGGCGAAAAGTTTTAGGTAGCCGCGGTCGTCCACTGGAGCAGGTGGTCGACCTCCATAGATTACGTAAATTGGGGCGTGTTACGCATGCCACCAAATAGGTTACCACGGTGAGCGATGTTTGCCGAGACGGGTAGTGGGTGGAATAAAGCCAAGGGTGGTCAAGCTAAAACCTGGCATGAGGGTATGAAAACCCTGACCAGGAGACTAGGTCACAGGCTATCTGGACGGGTACCTCAGGATGATCGTACTCGATGGTTAGAGACACTAAGAGATATGACTGGGTGTCGTAAACAGTGGTATTCGTGCACCTTCTCAATATCTCGGTATCATCAGTCAGCTGAAATTCTAAATTTTCTTTTTGATACTACTCCCCACGTTTCCCGTCTTTCTCCTAATGTTCATCGAAATGAGCAGCCGAAAAATAGCAACCAAAACCGGCACACGACAGTGCATCGTTAATGGTTGTACCGACTGAACTGAGCTGATTTCATACCTCATAATTTGAAATGAGTATCCTCTGGCTGTTTAGCCAGAGGATTATGTGTACGTCATTGGCTGTTGCTGTCACTAAGGTATGTATATCATCAGCATTTCAGTAGTTTCACATTTTGTTCTGCGGCCCATTGTGCCTTTTAATTGACCATAACGGTTCCCTGAAAATTACTCATACAATTGTATTATTCGAAATGGGACGAAGGGCAAGGATGATCACTATTGCCATTAACTTGATCGTTATTTGCTATATTCTTTTTATTTTACACGTGCACTGTGTTTGTGACTAGTTATCTCGCTCATTCTACTCAAATGCGTCAAAAGTTCTACGGTCACGTGCCATTTCTTCCTCTCTTTCTGCAGTCAACAGCATTGTCGTCATCCTCACTGTGAAATTCCCATGACTGAGCACGTACAACGTTTCGTTCAGACCACTGGATCCGTGCAACTGGTCATTCGGAAACTGAATCAAGATCCACCCCGTCCGACCGAATTTTCCAATCCCATCGAACTGAACAAACTACGACCAGACAGCCGAATCCAAATGTGGCTACTCTGTCCACATTGTCGTTCCAATTCACCGACGGTTTATCTCTCCGGGGATACGTGGCATTATTCGTTTGTCAAATTTCTTGACTCGTTGATCAATTCTCCCCCCGGTCAGGGTCGTTGTGCGCTGCGTGCTCCAGTCGTGTCAGTCGCGGAATCTTCCGCGAACAGTGTGAACGGCAATAGCAATGGCAACAATAAACAACCCGAGAATTTAAGTGCGCCCGAGACTGTCACGGCCACTCAACGACTGGAACCGATATTACAACTGACCTGTGCGCATTCTGCATACAAGACAGTGCAGCATTGCTTTGCATTGGATCGCA